TCTCTCTCCTATCTCTCTATCTCTCTCTCTATCTCTCTCTTCTCTCTCTTCTCTCTCTCTCGCTTCTCTCTCTCTATCTATCTCTTCTCTCTCTCTCTCTCTCTCTCCTCTCTCTTCTCTCTCTTTCTCTCTCTCTCCGTGTGAAAACAGCTGTCTCATTGTTCCTGCATGTCAAGGCTGGTGCCTGACACGCGCTGGCTGTGCTCTACGGTTTTTGGTCACGGCGGTAGGCGACATGGAACGTGAATGGTACTCATTAGCTCCGGCCCCTGGGGTCAGGCTATCAAATTAGCTACCCCATTGAGCAGAAACGGAAGTACCGGTAGCCGGTCAGGATCATGCAGTATGACATCTATGATGATGGATCGTCGTGCACTGGAGTAATCTGCCTAATTTGGTCACGCGAATTCATCGTAACGGGTTCCACGCCACATAGATCAAATTTGGCACTTACTAGCTCTGGTTTCGATGAAAGTTGGTGAGGATGCAACACCCATGCTTTATGATCGTCCGCTTATTTTCAGCAACACGCAGAATTCACATGAAGTGAATTCACATGAAGCTGGGGTGTCTGTAACGTTGCGTACGGCTAGCGTAACTTGGAGAATTTACTTCACCGTTTAATACTCATCAGTTGTTTTATTTAAATGACCGGCCTAACATTTGTGCTGGAACATTGTGATGAAGCACTCTAACCTTTGCTCTAACCAGTTGGAGAGAAGTGACGCGTATACCTTTTGTTTAGCGCAGCGATGTGTTGTTTCCGTAAATGTAACATTGTTTAAAAACATTGAAACTCTAGTGTAAGAGACATGTTGGGTGGCAAATAGAGGCTATTTGTGATATCGGGTATTGCAAGTTCTCATGGCAACAGGCGCGGTGTTGCTACTTACGATGTCAATATATGTCAGAGCCGCACAGACCGCGGTGATGTGTGGATGGTGAGGCAAAACCGTGCAAAGACCTATATGACCTCATCCCTAAACGACATAAGCTATGTATGATAAAGTTGGATCGATAATTTTGCTTTTAACATTTTGTTCTGTTGTGATTTGCCGCGAAAACTTGCATAGCGTCCATAAATAGTGATTATATTACCATTGCGTTTGAGAACTTAAGTTTGGATACGAAGGGTGTATAAGGGCGAAAGTATCCCATCCAGCGCAGTATTACTTGCTTATTACGACTCAAGACGCGTTGTCCGTAACGCCACCACAGAGCAATAAAACCTAGCATGTTACCGATTCGAGTTACATGTTCCGTGGCACCGATTCGAGTTACATGCCCCGTGGCACCGATTCGAGTTACATGCTCCGTGGTACCGATTAGAGTTACATGCTCCATGGTACCGATTCGAGTTATATGCTCCGTGGTACCGATTCGAGTTACATGCTCCGTGGCACTGGGCCTGAAAGGGGTGGCAGAACAGCGAGATTTATTGCTAGATCTGCGGACCGAACAAGAGGCCCGCTGGACCATGGTAGATGTTTCTCAGCCGATCCATTGCAGCTGCTATCTCCACAAAAGCCCGGCCGGCGCGCCATCACATGCCAGTGTGACGTTGCCTGGGGCGGCCGTGCCCGGTCGAGGTCAGCCAAAGCGCGCTGATGGGTCTCTGGCGGGCGATTTTGTACCAATCGCCGGGGGTGCAGGCACATTCAGACGGTCCGCCAGAGGCGATAACATCTCTAGCAATGCATATTTTAGCATGGCCTACGTCGAGGGCGTGAGTGAGAGGACAGGAGGCGGTCTGGCTCGCTGCGACTCCATGGTGTGGCACCGCTCGATATCTCCTCTGGAAGAAATGGTAAGCCAAACAAAATGTTTCGTTCCAAAATCACTGTCAGAAGAAGTTCATATGCAAAATATAGCATGCATAAAGCCTGCACAGGCATAAACCATGTATAGCCTCACGCAGTTTACCTGTAACGAACGCAGGCGACACTGGGCATACCAAACGTGCCCGTCTAAAAAGTGCATGGGACAGCTGTGAAATACGGACAAAGCAAGGCTTTGCCGTTGGTTTGACCTTATCTTTGAGTACTGTGGTGAGTTTGAGCCGTCCCGAGCCAACGCAATGGTCAAAGAACACATCTGATTTCTGTCGTTGGCAAAACAGCCAGTAACGAAAGTTTGCCACCCGCCCTCGATCAGTTTATTGGCAAGTTTTCGCTCAAGCCTTTTGGTATGGCGTTCGGAACGTTTATTGACACGGTTGTTGCGTCGAGTGAGGAAGTATTTGCAGGGCGCAAGTAAGTTGGAAATATTTAGCACACTAAACCGCTTTTATTTAGCACAAAACCACTTCTTAAGCATCAAATCGCTCACAAACAGCTATTGCCGTTAATGAGAAAGGGATGCTGGGGTAGGCGGTGGAGGAGGGCAGCGTTTCATACGTGCCGCTCTGTGACTTATGGCCTGTTGTTTCCCACCCTATGTTGAATTAAAGCTTGCTTAAGATTTTCTGGGTAAGATTCCTCACCGCTTTTTGTGAAATTGCGGAAATTAGAATCGTTGGTCGACTGCTATCCGGTCGTCATTATTCTATCTTTGTCATTCGGAGGGTCCTTCAACATGAGCCAAAGCTGCAGGCCTCCAATAGCTAAAACTTTTGCAGTTTGCCCACAGGCAGTCCGAAAAAAAACTCGCTCGATATGTGTGGCAACGAGCCCCATCTGTCTTGGTGGACTGCGGAGAGCACCGGCTATGCGGTGGCACGGCCATGACCTGGGTCGCGCCTCCTCCTCCAGCGCTGCGTGGCCGATCCCGGCGGATCCGGCTCGTCGAGAAGTCGGCCCTAATTGGATTGGTGTCGGCCCCAGCCCGCCTGCAGGCAATCCGTCGGGGCAGCACGGCTGCACGCAGCTGTGCCGCCCGCCGTCGGGCCCCCGACAGAGGCGATCCCATCAGGCGGGTCTGCAACAAAGGCCGTCACGCAACCCTCCCGGAGGTGCGGCGAGTGAGCTGAGCTCGGCCGCCGGAGCCCGCCATAGCTCAGAGGCATCATCAACGTTAAGGACGACATTGCTGGTGTGTCGTGCATGCTGCTTAGACAAGCAAGTTTGAGGCCCGATTTCTTGTTAGTTTTATGTCATATAAGTAAGACAGTAGCAATAGCCTTATTCCTCGGAGAAAGACAAGGAAAATGGAGATAAAGATGCGTCGATATTTGCTATAACACTGCTGTCTTCCTTCTGATAAAGGCATGTTGCCGAAACATTAACGTGTCTATGTTTCCATTCTCGTGGTTTTTCTCCGAGGAATAAGGTTATTACTACTATCTTATCTGCGTAAATAATGTTCCTCGCAAATGCACGTAACAGTTTATCTTTACGCCATTTCATCGGTTTCGTTTTTTCACAAGCGTGTTCGATACTTACGTTTTCCGCAAGTGACTTCGATACTTGGTCGTTTTGAGGACCGCTGACACAGCG